TTAGACACTCTTCTGCGTCTTGTTATGAGCCACAACGTCCTGAAGACTATTGATGCGCTGAATTACCCGGTCCTGCAAGAGCTGGATATCAGCAATAATAAGCTGACTAAGCTACCTGTGGAAATCTCCCTACCACAACTTGTCCAATTTGATGCAAGTTGTAACCGGGAGCTCATCAGCCTGCCGAAGAGTCTGCTGACGGGCTGCGCAAAACTGCGGGAGCTGAGAGCTGGCAACTGCTGTCTGCACAGTTGGGACTTCCTGCCGGACCCTGAGCACCCGCATCTTGAGGTCTTAGACTTGTCAAATAACCGATTCACAGATATCCCAACGGACTTGGTCCCGACCCGCTTACCTGGTGAGCAGGGTTCGGTCTCAGCCGTTGGGCAACCACCTCGCAATAGTAGGTCTGCAAACTCTCCTGCTCGCCAACAACGCCATAGCGACATTACCTCCTTCTCTTGGTCGGGCTACAGCCTTGAGGAGCCTTACTTTGGAGGGCAACCCTATAAGGTCTGTTCCACAAGTGAGCGGAAGAAGGGAGTCTACTCTGATGTAGTTGTTACATCAGGCTACTATTCGCCAAGGCGCGTCTGCTATACTGAACTGCTTACGTAAGCGTTATCTGCCTATGGTCGAAGGTGGTCCCCAGGAGGGCACTGAGCAATCTGACGGCAATAGGGACAACCTTGAGAAGGAGGTGCGTACAGTATCTCCCTTCTGGTGTTGTCGACCCTTCGTAGGTTGAATCGCTGGAAAGCAGACTAGCCGTAGGTGGGCATTCTCAAGCTGTGGAGTACAGTCTGAAGAAGCAGCTCGCCGTAGCACGAGCACGACTGAAGCGCCTCTTGAGGACTACAACCGCGGCGACTCATGAACCTGTGACTTAATTCGGGAGCAGTTTCTCCGAGAAAATTCAGTGTAGTTAGAAGAGCTTAAAGGCTTGTTGTCATCGTCTGCGTTCTCTTTGATTGCCTTCTCACTCTACCATGATAGTATCTTCCCGCATTCGAGCGTTCTCTATGCCTAGGGTAAGGGAGGCCTACGCTCGATCTCCTGTTCTTGCTAACTCTGCGATGTCTTTTGTCTGCTATGCTCTCAGTGATATTATAGCTCAACGTGCTGATGCGAATAATGACAAGAAAATTGACGGTGTGAGACTGCTTTCGGTCAGTCTCTGTGGGCCGATCCTCGGTGGTGTTTGCCTCACCAAGCTCTACAAGAATCTTGATCGATTTATCGGTTCTGGTCACAGTCTCAAGGTGGCAGCGCGAAAGATATTCTTCATGCAAATCGTCTACATGCCCTTTTCTGTCTCCACCTTCATTTTCCTGTCATCGTCGCTAAACGCCTTCCTCAAGGGCGAGAGGCTCACTGTTGCTTGTGGCGAGGCTTCGGCCGTCACCAAGTTGCGGTGGAGGGAGGCGTACTGGACGTCGTGGTTCATATGGCCCGTCTCTGATGCCTTCAACTTCACACTCGTGCAAAGGCATATGCCAGCTGCTCGGCCCACATGGGACGCGGTTGTCATGGTTGCTTGGAATGCCTATTTGAGCTGGCGTGCAATCGGTGGTCACTCTATCACTGAAGTTTTATTTCCTGTTCGCATGGCGAATGTATAATAATGCAACTGAATGTTTCGTTGTAGTAGTGAGGCAGTGTTGGAGAAATATATGTTCGGTCCTCTCAGCTGGGCCCGGGAGTTTCTCACTAAGTAAAAGAATTTATATCCGAGCTAAGGGTAGAAGTATCCAGGAACCAACAAGAGTTTTCCTCGAACTTTTCATCGACACATGTAGTTGACCATGTGCATATTTTCCTACACTTTAGTGACGGGGGTCCACTGCAGACACGTTGCTCAGCGAAGGCTCTAACGATTTGTGATCGGTGGCCATTCGCTTTATTCATAAACGTTTTTCGACTTCCTTGCAAAAGAATCTTCAAATGCCACCATGGCCTCCTAACACTGCCGAGTATGGTCAGCTATCTCTCACCCTATGTGTTGTTCAGTTTTACTACCCAATGGTCGCTTCCGCCGTAGCACGAGTGTATCGGCGATCGCCTATTCTGGCTAACTCCATCTCCTCCGTATTTTTCTTCGCTCTGAGTGACTGGTTCGCACAGAAAGCCGAGAAGGCCTCCGATCACATAGACAAGAAAAGGGTCGCAGCCGTTGCGATGTGCGGCCCGATATTCAACGGCCTTCCTCTGACGCTGTTCTATGAGGCTATGGACAAGCACATTGGTACCAAGGCGACCTTTCGGGTGGTTGGTCGTAAACTTCTCGCTATGCAATTCATCTACATGCCAATTTCCGTACCATCTTTTCTGTTTCTATCTACTTTGTTCCACCGACTCCTCCTGGGAGAAGAGGTCAGTCGAAGCGTCTATCGAGCAAAGGAGGCAGCAACGAGTAAATGGGCAGAGGCCTACCTAGCCTCGTGGTTTGTGTGGCCTGTCTCCGACACCTTCAACTTCACTGTAGTTCAGAAGATCCTCCCCGCGGCCCGACCTACATGGGACTGTGTTGTCGATGTGGGGTGGAACGCCTATCTCAGTTGGAGAGGCATTGGTGGGCACTCAATCACAGAATTCGCCGCTGCCCGACCGTGACGTTTCCGGCCTTGTCCAGAGTGCTTCGTTACGCTGTCATCACATTGACTCGGAAGCTGTCATCGTTAGCCTCCCGCCCTGAGGGTCTACACAGTTGCTTCTAGTCTTAATGCTCGTCTCCTCGTTACGCAGGCTCATGGTCTTTCTCCTTGTCGAGAGCTCATGTGTAGCTTCGGCACGGCAGATCTCGGAAGGGTCAGCTGTTGCGAGGAAGACCGAACTTGCACAATGCTTGGAGAAGGTAACTGCGTACAATAGGCCGTCGTGAAGTCTTTCCCTGCCATCATCAGAATGAGGCACTCGAGGCCCAAGTAGCTCATCTCGGGAGACACGTCGAGGTACGGGAGACGTTTTCTTCAAGGTCGCATAATATGCGGTGGCGTTGGCTTAGGCGATGTCTCAAAGCCATGCGGACAATCTCGGGGGTGTGCACAGTGAACTAAATCAGAAGATTGTCGCTTTGGATGAACTTGAGCGGACTATGGAAGACTTTGAGGCGCGTCTTGAAGGTAGGTGGGTCACGCCCCAAGGCTTTAGAACTACTGCTCTGCATTTCAGCATGTGAAGCAACTGGGGACGGCGAGAGAAGGCTCACTGAAATCGACCTGGGCAGCGCCTTCGACAGAATAATCGGTAGCGTTGCTTCTACTAGGTTGGGAGCAGCTGTCTGCAACGTGTCGTCGCCTATCCTCTCTGCTGCCTCGGTGAGTCGAATACTCGTCTTCCTTCCTGTGATGCGAGTTGATATTTTCCCTTCAGGGCGCTTGGCCTCTCACCGAGCCCACCAACTTCTCGGCCTCATCCTATGGTGATTCCCTCTTCAACGCTGTACAAGACTACCTCGATGAGCACATCAATGGGAGGAGACTCGTAGGATTTTCCCATTGCCATTATCATTGATGTACTCGCCACTAGGTCCTTCCATCTGGGTTGCTTCCCCGAACACTTCTCATCGTCTCCAGCCTGGTCTTCTCTTACGTCCTCACCGTGACTCTACTGATGCTGTTGCTAGCTCCGTTGAAGATCGGCGGCCTCTTGCTCAAGCATTGAGCTGGATCTGGAGGGCGATTAATTTAATTGTCGTCGCGATGCCCTTTTTCGCTGAGCTATGATGTTTTCAAGGAGAATTATTGTTGCGCTGAGTACTTCAATATGAGCGCATTCACTCCCGATAGGTGCCAGTTATCCACTCTAGAGCTAACTGGGAGTGAATGGTGAGTCTACGGCGTAACTACTTGTGGCCAATTCCCATTTATTTTACTAGCACCAGTATAACGCTCGAGTAGAGTCGAACCAATCATAACTTGTCGACCGGACAGCAGCAGCCTCGGTGGACACACTAAGCTCTTTCGCGCGTGGGGTCTAGGTTCCCAGACGCACTTCGAAAGTTTCCAGAGATAGTGAATGTGGCAACTCCTCGTTAACGTAGTATAACATCGACTATTGTGGGAATTATCGAAACGTAGAGTATTTGCCGGTACCATGTTTGGCAGCCTCGTTGAAATATTTCTCTGATACTATACCTTCAATTTCTAGTACGCAGTGTATTGCGTTCAAAAGCGGGCAATGATGAAGTCGTGCTAGCGGGAAACTCCTCAACTTAACGAACACGAAACAATAATCGCCAAGAGAAATGATACAAATTGATTACACGTTCACAGAATGTCTCCCAAACCCCCCGTGGGCTCCTCTTTCATAATAGGTCGTTTCGATCGTGCGGGGACTCTTCCGGATTCAGTCGCGTAGCTGCTCATCAGCCGGTCTAATTCTGACATCACTGGTAGACGTTGGGGCTTCCCTGGGACACTCCGAGAAATTGCAAAGGCCATGACCATCACCACACCCACGCTCAGCATCAACCAAAAGACGCGCACGCTGTACAATGAGACTTGGAAGCTCGGATGCAGGATATTAAGACATCTCGTTGAGCTCCCTTGACAGGGTACGACATAGCGCGGATAGATGGTCAGTGCCGGCCGGAAGAGTCGTTCCGACCATGAGTGGTTAATGGAGCCTAACATAGGGGTCACTGCTGTGACATAGGCAACACCACAGAGGAATGCGGTAGAATGGGCCAGCGAGCCGAAGTCGAGGAAGGACTTTCGAGGCTCGGAAGTGACTAGGTCCATGCATAATTGTAGGGCTGCTATGAACAGCCTGACGGAAACAAAGGATGAGTCGGGCGGTAGTGTCACACCCGCGCCGGCAAGCAGGACATAGAGAGTAATGATGGCACCGTCAACAGCATAGCAGACCGTGGAGAGGCCACCGAAGACGATATTCCAATTGTCTCTCAGTCGACCACACGACCCAACAAGCACTGATGTTGCCGTGGCGAGGACAATAAGCGTAGCCAAGTGTTTGGAGCCGATCCCACAGAAGGGATAACAGAAACCAGCGGAGATGGGCGCCGCGCCACACCGTAGGTTGGCCCCACCAGGGAGCTCGATGTCAGGAGTGGATTCTAAGTCCAAGCTGAAGAGCAGGTGAATAGTAGATACCATGAGACTGGCGAAATCAGGGTGGACCAGAGGGAATGTGAACACCCGCCACACCTGGAAGTGACGGAAAAGCGGCGCCGGTTGAAAGGTTAATTCATCTGATCAATAAGGAGAGACTTCCGAATCATCTCTGAACCGTGTCAAGACCCACCCTTAACAGCTGCTACTGTTTGTGGTCTGACAAGACCTACCACCCACTGAAGGAAATAAAATCCCAACGCGGCAATAAGAAGGCTAGCCATCACAGGACAGGCTTCGACAGTGGCGCTGACGGAGGCCATCGGCCACACTATCGGGAGGATAAGAAGACTGGGCACTCGTTTCACGGTGTTGCCCAGGCTCCACATCAGCCTTGGTCCTCCCACGGCCAAGGCCAGGGCCACTAGCAGGAGCCTAGGGTGAAGACGATTCCGACGGGACATGGGAAACGCCTAAATTTCACCATCAAGTACAGTAGTCAATAAACCACCCATAATAGAGACAACGCAAAACCAGCAATATGCGAGGAACAGAGACTCCCACTGAAGCAGCACCAATAAAGCGAATTGTTGGAGGGAGTTCAAATGTGCTTCTCCATAAATTCACGAACCTCTTGACGAGCGGAGCCAGGCACTACATGGCCGCCGTCATGATAAATCACTACTGGTTCGGAGAATACCGCCTTGAAGGTGTTGAACCGGTCTTCTGGGACCACCTGGTCCTTCTTGCCATACAGCAGCATCACAGGCATCTGAGAGGCAAATGGTAAGAAAAAGGGGGAAAGACAACTACCGTCTTCACTAACGAGGACTTTTCTATCTCCTCGACAAGCGTGGGATTCTGCGGTAAATTACCACTGGCACAAATAAGAAACTTGACCTGCAAGGGAAACATGCCCAGAAGACGGCACAGCAGACTAGTGACTACATTAGCAAAGGCCTCAGGATGCTGAGCCATCGCTACAAGGACAGCTGCGCAACCCAGAGAGAACGCGAATATACCCTTAGTATCGGGAGTGATTCCCTCGACAATCGAAGTGACATCCATCTGAAACGGCAAGGCGAGTGGCCAACGCCGTGGCTTCCATGGCACTGACTTTATCTTGTCCCCGAGGTATCCCGGGTTGCCGCCAGGTGAGCAGATCCTCATCATCCGAATCGTGGGAAAATCGATCTTCCAAGGGAACCACATAAGGACCCTTGACGAAACTGAAACTCTACGGTAGCCCTTTACCAGACTCAGCGCTAAACCCATAGAGCTAAGTCAGGTCAATCCCCCCGAATTCAACCCTGTATTACTCGAATTGGACCAAGGACTTGCATTTTCGCCTTATGGGCCCGATCTTATTACTAAACCGCTCCGGAGTCTGGGCATGGCCATGGACACACAAGAGCCTATTCGAATGCTCGCCACCTTCTGAAGAACTGGTTGATGACACTGTGGACTTGGACGGCATGGTCTGATTGATCTAACTTAGCAGCAACTACAACGGACGGTATCCCATGAGCCCACTTCGGAACGCAGCACCACCAACATCAGCACTGTACACTTAGAAACAGAAATTTAGTCCAAATCGCCTATAAGCTACTCAGACAAAGCACTCTGAATGAACGCTTTCACGTCCTTCCGAGCCTCTGACGGGACCATGTGGCCCTTAGCGTGTTCAAATACAACAGGATCAGTGAACATCTCAGCAACTCTAAGGCTGCGTTCTTCGGCGACTACCTGGTCTGACTTGCCACAGATGAACATCGCCCGAACCTGGCAGTGTGCGAGTGAACAAAAGACGGAGAAACAGAGAAGTCGCATTACCTTGGGCCAGAGGGGGCAGGCACGAATCTCTGCCTCCTGCTCAGAATTGTTCTGTGGGAAGAATGCACCACATAATATGATGAATTTGACCTAAAACCAGTAGGAAGAGTTGTCAAGCAACTTGGAAGGCGACGATAACTCACATTTTCGAACGCCTCAGGGTACCGAGCCATTGCGAGAAGGATGGCAGGGCAGCCCATGGAAAAGCCGAACAGACCCTGTGTCTCCGGGGTCATGGCCTTAGCGATACCTTCTACATAAAATTCTCCCAGGTTCTCCTGAAGTCAGAACATTTCAAAACCATGCATTCCCTAATGGGCCTACCGGGCTCTCCTTCTTGGGATCGACCCAAGTGTAGGTCTTCTCGCTATCCGGATCATGGCTGGCGAAGACGTCATCCGGAGGGACCTCATAGGGCCCTTGCAAGAAACTAGAGAGACAGTGACGATAACAGCTCCTCACCGCGACATGAATGCCCTACTCAAAGTGAACCAGCTTCTTGCATGGCCTTCTCATACCGCCAGTCTTTTGATGGAAGCCCTCAGGGCTCTGGGCATGACCGTGAATGCAGAGAACGCGATGGGTCAAAGTAGGATCACTCTCCCCAGAAGTCGAACTGGCTGTAGATGCAGCTACCATAGAGAAAACGTCAAAGAAGACTAAGAAGAGTTCCACCTAATTGAACCACAACGACACCAGTAATCGCACGCACAACAAACTCATGGACGGTTCTAGCGTATCTACGACCTTTACGCTTAAGCGGAAAGATACCTTTCTCCTATACCACCAGAAAGGGACAGACGCGACACAAACGAACAAAGCGCCTAATGTTTCTCATGGAGTGGTGGATACAAAGCTGGTACCAACTTGAACGAATCGTCGCAAGGTTATACTAGCATACCGCAAGATTCCCCTCGATAAAGGGACACGTAACAGAGGCAACCCAGTGATGCCTCAACAGACTGTGCTGATGATGGTTGTCAAGGGTCACCTTCCTAGTCCATAGGGCAGGGTGGTCCTTCCCCCGCCACGGTGGTGGTGAAGATGGCATTCTGATATTCTCCTCGACACAATTTTTAAACGGCCATATTTCGCTTTCAGCAAGACCAATGTCATCGCCCGGGGCACCTATGCCACCACCTCGAGATATGCCGGTACAATTGATTTCTGCAGGCGGAGCACCTATGCCACAGCTCCCGAGCTATGCCTTGGTACAATTTACTCCTCCAGATGGGGCGGCTATGCCGCTACTCTAAGATATCCCTCAATACAATTTATTTCTCCAGGTGGGGCACCTATGCCATCA